CATTCATGATGGTTTTCAAATGTTCAAATCAACTCAGTTGGATTCAAATCCGGGTGATATGGCGGTAATCGTACACAGTTGTCATTTGCTGCTAGAATTTTGACTTTTGACTTAAAGCTTACGAGATATAGTTCAGGTTTCAGCATGTTCTTTCCAAATAGAATATTTCTCTCTGTTTGCACATCGGCTTTTTTGATCAATGTCGTTGGCATTTTGTCGATTTGTTTATTACGATCACCACAACGCTTCTTAACAGCAGATTCGGATACCCATCTATACTTACGAATATGAAAGTCACTCACTTAACACTCACTCATTTATCTCTGTTTCTCCGTACTGGTGAGTCCTAGGAAGCTAAAATTTAGTATATAAGTGCTCCTTAGTTCTTAGATGCTCACTAAGAAAGAGTTTTCAAATATTTCAACTGGGGCGCCCCCGTGGGGGTAAAAAGGGCTCGTTTACATATGAAAATTACCTTTTCATCCGTTTCTTCATACTGGTAAGCCCTAATAAGCTATACATTGGTATATAGCTGCTTTTAAGGTCTATGGTGCGCACTGAGAAAGGATTTTAGAATATTTTAACTGGGGCGCCCCCGTGGAGGTAAAAAGGACTCGTTTACATATGAAAATTGCCTTTTCAACACTGTTTTTTATGTACCGCTATATTTTCAGAGGCTAAAATTTTGTATGTACGCCTTGGTCAAAGACGATATGGACTGGTTTAAGTTTGATGATAGTCGTGTCACTTAGTGTTCTGGCGATATATTGAATTTATTGGAGCCTCTGGAGACACCGTACATTTTGTTTTATGAGAGAGATGACATTGGCAAGTCAATATCTTCAGATGATGTGGTGCTGCAGGTTTTTCCGGGTTTTCCTGCATCTAAAAAAGCAAATGCGCCACTGGAATCAATATAGTCAATATAGAGGAAGAAAAGTTGGCCATCTTGATAAATCTCTATTGTCAAGAGATCATTATGACGTTTATTCCAAATAGCAAAAATATCATCAACATATCTCCATCAAACTTCCGGACCGTTCTGGTAAGTTCCAACGAAAGATTCTTCAAAATGTTCCAAATATATGTTATTTAACATGAGAAAAGAGGGGAAGTCCATAGCCATGCTAAATTTTCTTCATCATCATGTCAGTGAACTCGTTCGTTCTACTACTTGCAACTTCTCTTGTCAAAAACGAAAACCCTCCAAAACCGATGAAAGCAATTGTAAAACCCTCAATCCTCTCTTTTGAGCTCGAGTTCCTCGTTAATATGTTTCCTTTCATAGACATTATCCTGATATCGATTACTATTATTATTGTTAAATAATTGGATGAACGTCTGAGCAGCACGTGTTGCGGCCTCGTTCATGAAATAGTAGGCCACGGTATCAGGTCGCTGACTGGATCCTTCAGTGCGATCGCGACGCTGGCCAGCGACGTCCGTCGTGACGCCGAGCGTTGCTCTCTCGACGACTACGTGTTTTCAATAGCTCCAATTATTAATTTAAACGAATTGTTTTGAGTAACGAAGTTTTGAATGAACGTGTCGAATGTTTGTGTGTTTTATTACAGCTTGTCAAATGTAGGAAGACCGTAGTAAATTTTGATACTACTAATTGCGCGTTCGTTAGAAGACGGTGAGGGTGACAGAGATAGAGCAAGAGAGAAACAATTTTCAAGTCTCTTCCAGATTTGACAAGCTGTAGTTTTTTTGAAAATTAAAAAAGACGAACATTATTCAAAAAAACTTACTAAATACGGGCTAGAAGAATGTAATGTGCTTCATTTCAATATTGTTTGATTAGAAACATAATCATATCAATAATAATAATCAATAATAATAATCAATATTAATAATGACTTAGTCACTGAAACGTTCTTCTGTGCTGTGACGTAGTTTCCAGAACTTTATGTGATCCGCAGCTAGAATGTATGTTAATGTGACGTAAGGGCTAGTCCATATTGTCTTGTCTATGCTCTAAACATTCCAGTATGCGGAATATTAGACACGGCCATTCCCAATTTGAGGTTAGAATTTATGATAACGATATAAAATTTACTTACTTTGACCTATGAAATACCTACAGTTTGTTAGTGAAAACAACTATGTGTGTAGTGTGAAAGAATGTAAGCTGTAGAAACTTTCAATTAACGACAATAAACTGTCAAACGATAGTAATACGTCATCAATTGGCCACAAAATATAAGAAAACTCCGACCACTTATCAAATGCGCCACTGGAATCAATATAGTCAATATAGAGGAAGAAAAGTTGGCCATCTTGATAAATCTCTATTGTCAAGAGATCATTATGACGTTTATTCCAAATAGCAAAAATATCATCAACATATCTCCATCAAACTTCCGGACCGTTCTGGTAAGTTCCAACGAAAGATTCTTCAAAATGTTCCAAATATATGTTATTTAACATGAGAAAAGAGGGGAAGTCCATAGCCATGCTAAATTTTCTTCATCATCATGTCAGTGAACTCGTTCGTTCTACTACTTGCAACTTCTCTTGTCAAAAACGAAAACCCTCCAAAACCGATGAAAGCAATTGTAAAACCCTCAATCCTCTCTTTTGAGCTCGAGTTCCTCGTTAATATGTTTCCTTTCATAGACATTATCCTGATATCGATTACTATTATTATTGTTAAATAATTGGATGAACGTCTGAGCAGCACGTGTTGCGGCCTCGTTCATGAAATAGTAGGCCACGGTATCAGGTCGCTGACTGGATCCTTCAGTGCGATCGCGACGCTGGCCAGCGACGTCCGTCGTGACGCCGAGCGTTGCTCTCTCGACGACCGTATGTTTTAATAGTTTCTCAACCTGTTCGCCGGGTGATACGGACATTCATATTGATTTGGGTCAATTGTTGGGTTTTTGGAGTGATCCGCTGATTTGGTCTACGCCGAAAGAGTGATTTGAACGTCATTCATCATTCCTACTCAAAAGTTGAATTTGGTTGATTATAATTTTTGTTTTCCAGGGTACGTTAACACACAGTGTTTGCGAATATTGGATGTGTTAGGTATTTTCGTCAATTCCGATTGATTGTAGCTCTTTAACCTTCTTGAAATTCATTAATGGAATTATTACAAATTGTTCATTAATATTTATCATGATAGATCAACATTATGTACCACAAACTTACAAGTACTATATTAAATTAATATGTATCAATTATATACAAGATAAAGGGTTGCTACTTCTACTTTATATTAAAGTTTAATACATTACTTCAGGTAATTATACTTTATATTTTATGAGAACAATAAAGTACTCAAAAACACTTCATTTCACATGATTTGATTTCTCTAGGAATCAATAAAGTCTGGTCGTAAATTCATTTCCATTTTTGTAGCCACATGTTATGTGATGGAATTGGCCTATACTTGATGAAAATCCATAACAACACTTCATTGGACACTTCACAAAATCGCACAAAATTTAGAAGTTCTCTGTTTTTCCCACATATCTCGGAACCAAAAACCATAGTCGATTTTTCGATTTATATAGCCCTATATATTCAGAAATGAATATTACACATTTCTAAAAATATTTTCCATACGAATATACCGAGGTGATGGTTCCAGATAACTATTATATTATTTTGTTTTATATTTAGAAACTTACTCAGTCAGATACTTATAATACCCAAAACATCGATCAATATGCTACTAATAATCTGAAGTGCATGAATAACAACCGAGCGATAAGATTTGTCAGAGCACTGTTCAAAATGTTTGTAACATTCAATGGTAAATTTTCGTTTTGTGGACACCCGGCGATTTTGAAAAAATGTTTGACTGTACTTACCTATTTTGATGCGTAGATTACGAATCCGAAAGAAAAAAGCGGCGTTCTCCCTTATTTAAAAAGTTACGGCCCTTTAAAGTTCAGAAAAGGGCAACTTTTCAGCCTTCTTTTTCACCAAATAAACTATTTAAAAACACAATAAGGCATTTATAGATATGAATTTAGAAGTGGATTATATGAAATCATATTCTGAATTTGTTGATTGTAACTAATCGTAGAGTCTTTAGGATATTTTTCACAATAGTTTTTTTAGTATTATACTTCTGTATGTCAAAAGCATAGGCTGGCTACTGCTGCAGACTGCCCAAATTCCGGATCTCAAAAATCGGAGGAGTCTATTTGGAGAAATGTAAAACAAGAGCCTTGAGTTTTCTTGATGGTTTCTGGAAAGAGGATTTCGATCAGATATTGTAAGGTTTACTGTAATAAACCCTAGGGTAAAACCCTGTATTATTTCTATTAAGGACATCATTGGAAAGAGTAGAAATTTTCAGAAGATTGATACTCTGATCTCCTTAAACAGTGACCATTTATTTTCAGTATTGATTTAATATTTTTGTTCGTCAATTCATTTCAAGGTTGGGGATGCAAAACCCTGTTAAAACTCTCAAGTAAACTGTATTTCTTGTGTTATTAGTATGCTTGAAGTGTCTTCTATACCGGTGTAACAAAGTCGGTCTACAGTGACAAGTGTTGAAAGGGGGTACAATATTTCTACAAATTTCTGTAGATGACGTTCAAATAAGAGCTTTCAATTTGGTAACCTTTTTCAGCGCTTATAATTGAATTTCTATATGAAATCGAAAACCGACCTGTGCCCTTGTCTCCGCAAATCAAGAGCTAGTTATGTCAACTGGGCATATATACCGCTCAAGATCAAGAAACCAGCAATTTAAAGTTACAATTCACAAAAATGGAAATTCTGCATTGTATTATAAATACCCTGCGAAAATTAGTTCATATTAGGATTTATTGAAAGCCTCCCACAAATGTTTTGAGAGACATATCCTTCAAATTTCGCTCGAAAGATTAGTTTAATTTAACCCATCTGCATAATCATCTAGACTGTCGTGAATATAAAATATGAAAAATCACTTGACATATCGAGGTCAGACATTTTATATTTTTCTGTGGCTAGACGAAAAGCAACTGACTGAATTCTTTTATTTTTTCCAGCCGACACTCTTGTCCTCACAACCCGGATGACTACACCGACCATTTGCACCCTGACGGGCCATTCCTTGGCAAACCAAAGGACGAATACAATGCAACTAAAGGCGAGAGGTACCCTGTCAAAATCCCCGAAGATCATCTCAAACCGGAAGGAGACTTCGTCAAGCGCGAACCCACCAAATGGGCACCTGGCGAACGAGCGCCCGTGAAAAAGCCTCAGGATAATCTCCGACCGGAAGGCGAATTCGAACGACCGGAAAAACCAAAGTGGTCTCCTAGTGAACGTCCCGAACAAAAGCGCCCCGAGGATAACCTGAAACCTGAGGGAGAATTCGAGAAGTACAAACCAGAAGAGTGGAAACCAGGCGACCGGGCTCCAGTCAGAAAACCACACGACAATTTGAAACCTGAGGGCGAGTTTGAGAGGCCCGAAAAACCAAAGTGGTCTCCAGCCGAAAAACCCAAACCAAGTGAATGGTCTCCAGTAGAAAGACCGAAACAGAAAAAACCTGAAGACAATCTACGGCCGGAGGGAGACTTCGAAAGACCAACTCCCACTAAGATGGGACCAGCAGAACGCAGAAAGCCTATTAAACATGACGACAATCTTCATCCAGAAGGTGATTTCGAACGTCCAGAAAAACCAGGATGGTCTCCAGCTGAAAGGCCAAAACAGAAAAAACCAGATGATAACCTGAGACCTGAAGGTGAATTCGAAAGGCCTGAGAAGCCCAAATACAGACCTTCAGAACGACCGAAGGCAACAAAACCGGATGATAACCTCAGACCAGAAGGAGATTTTGAACGCCCCGAAAAACCTGGTTGGTCTCCTGCGGAAAGGCCAAAACAGAAGAAACCAGATGATAACCTGAGACCTGAAGGTGAGTTCGAACGTCCCGAAAAACTTGAATGGTCTCCTGTAGAAAGGCCAAAACCAATAAAGCCGGATGACAACTTGAGGCCTGAAGGTGATTTTGAGCGTCCTGAGAAGCCTAAATATAAGGCATCAGAAAGACCAACTGCAAAGAAACCCGAAGATAATCTACGTCCTGAAGGAGATTTCGAAAGACCAACGCCTACTAAGATAGGACCAGCAGAGCGCAGGAAACCTATTCGGCATGACGATAACCTTCACCCAGAAGGCGACTTCGAACGTCCAGAGAAACCAGGCTGGTCTCCAGCTGAGAGGCCAAAACAAAGGAAACCAGAAGATAATCTGAGACCAGAAGGTGATTTCGAAGTTCCAGAAAAACCAAAATACAAACCGGTAGAGAGACCGAAGGCTTCTAAACCAGATGACAATTTGAAACCTGAAGGTGACTTCGAGCGTCCCGAGAAACCAGACTGGTCTCCTGCTGAGAGACCAAAGCAGAGGAAGCCAAATGATAATTTGAGACCCGAAGGTGAATTTGAGAGACCTGAAATCAAGGAAATAGGTCCTGCCGAGCTCAGAAAACCTATCAGACACTCAGATAATCTTAAGCAAGAAGGAACCATGCAAATTGTGAGAAAGGACGATTATAACGTCATCAGAGGTGAGCGAGCGGAAATAATTAAACATGAAGACAATCTCAAAACCGAAGGGGAGTGGGATATCCGCCGAAGGGATGATTTTAGAGCAAACAAGATAGAAAAGAGAACTCAAGTTGTCAAACACGAAGATAATTTAAGAATGGACGGAGACTTCACTGACAGTCGCACAAGAGACGACTATACAGTCGTCAAGGGAGAGAGATGCGATGTTATTCGTAGAGAAGATAATCTCAAAATCGAAGGAGAGTGGGATATACATCGTAGAGACGATTACACCGCAAAGAAAATCGAAAGGAGGACCCAAGTCGTCAAACACGAGGACAACTTGCACATGAACGGCGAGTTCACCGACAGTAGATCTCGAGATGATTACACTGTCGTGAGAGGTGAAAGGTGCGACGTAATTAAGAGAGAGGACAATCTCAGAATGGTTGGCGAGTTTAACGAATACAGAAAACGCGATGAGTACACCACCCACACCGAAAGGAGGGAAGTTATTCGACACGAAGACAACCTGAAGCTCGAAGGAGACTTTGAAAGGCCTACTCCCACAAAAGTTGGTCCGGGAGAGAGGCGAAGACCAATCAGGCACGACGACAATCTCCACCCAGAAGGAGAATTTGATAGGCCAGAGAAACCTGGATATAAATCTGCGGAAAGACCGACGCCTAAAAAACCGCAGGATAATCTTAGACCAGAAGGCGAGTTTGACAGGTCTACCCCAACGAAGTTTACTCCAGGAGAGAGGCGTACGCCAATCAGACACGAAGATAATCTTCATCCGGAAGGAGAGTTCGAAAGACCAGAGAAAACTGGATACAGACCTAGTGAAAGACCCACCCCTAAGAAACCGCAGGATAATCTCAAGCCGGAAGGCGAATTTGAAAGAACCCCTTCGAGAAAGATAGGTCCAGGCGAGCGCAGAACGCCTATCAGACATCCGGATAACTTACACCTTGAAGGAGACTTCAGCAGACCCGAGGAACCGGAATATCGACCTGTGGCTAGATCTACTCCCAAGAAGCCTAAAGACAATTTACGTCCCGAAGGTGACTTCGAACAACGCACACCTTCCAAGGTGGGACCCGGAGAGCGCAGGACACCGATCCGTCATTACGACAATCTCAAGCCAGAAGGAGAGTTCGACAGACCGCCCAAGCACGGATATCAACCAGGAGAACGACCCACCCCTAAGAAACCCCAGGATAATCTTCATATGACCGGAGAATTCCACGACACGACCGTTAGCAGATCGCATCATACTGTCGTCAGGGGTGAGAGAGCAGAAATAAAGAAACACGAAGACCATCTCACAGTCGGAAACGGCACGATGGAGTGTACTACGACGACGCGCGAAACGTTTGATCGAACGCCGAAGAAAGGCGGACCCGGTAGTCCTGCTACTCCCACAGGGCCTGTCATAAGTAAGCGCCGCCACATGGAGTCACACATTACACTTGGCAGCGACGTTACTAACATGCAGACCACCTCCGAGAGTAACTACAAGACCTACACCCGAAGAACCGACAACAGAACCAGCATCGACGTTACCGATAACAAGATAGTTAGCAATACGGAGAATATTAAACAGTCCACCAAGGTGACGGACAATAGGGACACACGACGGGTGACACAATCGACTACGGATGTTTCTCCCGATACCAGCACCGGACCAAATGGTGCTGCTCTCATCGTCGTTCGGAAAGTAACTACAATCAAAGGAGGACATAGAGACGATACTGACAGAAGTCATGAGGAGAGAAGCACGACTAAGGTGACCAAGTCGTCCTCGCACAGAGACGTTAGACATGAAGAACATAACATCAGTAACGTCAACGTCGTCAGACAGAACAACATCATCCATTCAAGCAGCCACAAAGACGTTTCTAACGTCACGAACGTCAATCGACAGAACAATGTCATCCACTCTTCCAGTAGCCATACAGACGTTTCTAACGTCACGAACGCCATTCGACAAAACAACGTCATCCACTCACATACAGACGTTTCCAACGTTAGCAACGTGGTCCGGCAAAACAACATCGTTCACTCCAGCAGCCACAAAAACGAAACCTCCAAGCATGTATCCGAAAAGCAGACGCATCACAGGAAAAGTGGCGTGACGTCCGAGGAGATTAGTAACCAGATCCTCCACCGAAAGGGCTTACACACGTCCACGGAGGCCCTTCACGCTACCAGTTCTTCCGCTTTGGATATGCGAAAGTCTGTATGCAACTTGCACGATCAAGGCAGAATCGTGAACAGTGACAGACACAGCCTTAGTTCGATTCATCGGTCGAATCAGGAATCGACTGGGGCGAACAGACGCAGCGTGCAATATCAGACGGTGGAGCGCCCGCAAAAGGTTGTCAGGAGGGATAACTTATCCGTTGGTGGGCATTTTTACGGGCAATCAGAGGCAAAGTCTTACGGAGAGTTCACGAAGCAGACAAACGTCCAACGGGTTGAGCGGATCAACAGAAGGTCGAACGTATCGAATATAACGCTGGGTGATAGCAATGTCCACGTAGTGACGTCATACAAGAAGGAGTTTGCTCCTAGAAACGTTGGGCCATGTCCTGCTGTGCTAGTCGACGCTCCAAAAGGGCCATTCAAACATACCAGAGATACCAAATCTCACAAATTCTATATGCCGTTGATCACCAAGTGAATTTACTTGAATTATTTTCTATAGACTGTTGTTGTATTAATCATTTAACATTGTTACATTCCGTCAATTGTTATATTTAGGAACGGATATATGTATATCGATAGATCGAGAATAACAAACGCAATACTTTCACCTAAGCTTACGGTAGGGGTTTTATGTCTTGTTGGGGCTCAGATGATATAACTATTTTTATAAGCCTACAGAAGCTTACCCTCTAGCTTTTATTATTATAGAAGTCAAATACTTTATGAATAAAGCTTTTATTTTTTATATATTTTTTTCATTAATTTTTCTTTAATCAAACGGAAAAAAGACCAGTTTTGTATTTTCAGAATTTTCGATACTATGATTTTTGTTTAGTAACTTCGACTAGATCATTCATAGTCTTTTTTCTGTGGGATCAAAGTTGCATTACTTTCATGTTGATTCGTTTTCTCTAGTACAACTTTAGTGGAATAAAGTTGTTACTGCCGAGATCGTTAAATTTGGCTGAGATTCGACGACACCATCAAATAAGGAAACTTATATGTGCAGGGTGTAGTTTTAATAAAAACCGGTATTCATATTTTGTGTGTATTATTTCGTAGCTTTGTACTGAACTGAACAAGTCAATGTTGAGGAATTTAGTTTCGAAAGAGAAAATAAAAATTCGAAACAACTTTTGAATACATGTAACTTTGAAAACCATCAGTTATAGGTAAAGTTATGTTTATTCTTTCTATTATTTCTGATATCAATTTATTGAACTATAGTTTTCCTCGATGAAATACATTTTTTCACCAGTCTTTCTCGAATATGCATACAATATATTTTAACAAATTTCATATGATGGGAACCTATAAAATGTTCAATCCTAATAGCACAAAACACTCTTAAGAAGAGGCCTGAAGTTCGTTTGACAGTCTCATATAAAATTCCAAGAAAATCTCAACTTACTTACAAATTTTACACCAAACTGTTTTCGAATAAGCGACCATACAAAATTCAGAATACTTTTGCACGAATTCATTCTTTGGACCTTCCACACACATTCATAAACTTAAGGAATGAGGCATACTCACCTCAAATGTAACCTCACCCGTAAATATAACCTATATCTTCTTTATTCGAATTAAAACTTATTCTGTGAAATATGCATGTTTTTCTGTCTTAATTCACGACGGATATTGCATCACACCTAACACACATAAAGATCATCCTGGTAGATTTTTATAGTTGCTCAGAAATTCTCCGTAGTTAGTAAATTGATTATCTACAGATCGAATGCAAACTTTTCACTCTTCATCAATGCACAATGTAAATTAGCTAGAGTATGTTCAACTTCTATTATCAAATTATATTGCTGTGACCTGGAGGTTATGTAAGATCTTATGAAGTGTATCTCAGTGTATAACAGAGGCCTGAGCATTCAACAACTCTGAAATTAGATATAAATTAATGAGATATAAATTAGAAAAAACTTCAAAATGTGAGATTAAAAAAGTTGATGAGGTAAGTATATATGTACTAGTACTAATGTTTATCGCTGCTGTTCCAATGTTTTGACAGAATCAGAATCAACGAACTTAGGCGTTTGCAGCGTTATAGAACAGTGCTTTCAAAAGAATTGTTCTACAGCGCCATCTAGTGGAGAGTTACAAAAAAAATTCATAGCCTAAAAACCTTCTCTATGAAAAATTACTTGACATGTCAAGCTTCATCACGATCGGTTGAGCGATGTAGGAGTTTATCACTTACCAACCAACCAACCAACAAACATACATTTTTATATATTAGATTAATTCCAATATTCATATTATTCAGGTGAATGGCAAATTTCCCGTTTATTACTGGAACAGATGAAAAAGGTTTTGCCTTTTCAACAATTTAGCATCCTAGGACTTGCCAGTATGGAAAAACAGGTGTGAAAAGGTAATTTTCATATGTAAACGAGCCCTTTTTACCCCCACGGGGGCGCCTCAGTTGGAATATACGAAAATCCTTTCTTAGTGCGCATCTTAGACCTAAAAAGCACCCATATACCAAATTTTAGCTTATTAGGACTTATCAATATGGATAAACAGGGATGAAAAGGTAATTTTCATATATAAACGAGCATTTTTTACCCCCACGGGGGCGTCCCAGTTGGAATATTTGAAAATCCTCCCTTGGTGCGCACCTCAGATCTAAGGAGCACCTATATACCACATTTCAGCTTCCTAGGACTCACCAGTATAGAGAAACAGGGATGAAAAGGTAATTTTCATATGTGAACGAGCCCTTTTTACCTCCACGGGGGCGCCCAGTTAAAATGTTCGAATATCCTTTCTAAAAAGCAGCTATATACCAAAGTTTAGCTTACTAGGACTTACCAGTATGAAGAAACGGATGAAAAGGTAATTTTCATATGTAAACGAGCCCTTTTTTACCCCCACGAGGGCGCCCCAGTTGGAATATTTGAAAATCCTTTCTTGGTGCGCATCTAAGACCTAAGAAGCACCTATAACCAAGTGTTAGCTTCCTAGGACTTACCAGTATGGAGAAACATTTTCACTATGATTTTTAGAATGTTGCATCTACGATAGTTTTGTACATATCTTGAAAGGAATTCTTCTTCATAAAATATAACAATGAATTTGATGACATTACATTAACAAATCATTGTAAATCTATAAAGCCTCCAATAAAGTATGTTCTCAAATATTCTGAAAATAAATCAAATGTAATTGAAATTATGATTAATGAAATAATCAAAAATTGTGACGGAACTGACGTCTACGGAAACATCTTTTGAAAATACTTTTACCACACTAGAACAAAATTGCTGATTCACTTTACGGCCGCAGTTTAAAAACACCCTGTATCATATAAGCGTACATCTGAAGTACCAATGAAATAATTTTCATATTCCCAATAATGCTTCAGTTCGGCTCTTACCTCATTATCAATGTGACAGCTAAATTGTGACATCACAAGACAGAAACATCACTCTCATTTTTTACGATGAGAGTAGATACTTCGAAACTTTATTTATTTACCATTTTATTAGCATTATACACCACCTCCAAATCACATGCAAGTAAGGAACTCGGTAGTTGGAGGTAAGCGCTTTTATACCAGTTCAATATTCCGTTGATGCTCTGACCTGAAATAATTCTAGCTCTGATAGTGAGACAGATATTGGGAGAGATGACACTGTGAATATGCACGAAAGTTACAGACCTAGACACAAGTACAAAACTGGCACAGACCAATTTTCCAAAAGATTCGTCGGGAGCAAAAATGAAATGCAAAATAGTAAGGGTCTGGAGTGCGCCGTGATGTATAAAAATAATGAGCCGATCGGGATATTACAGGTAAGTTAGCGAATTTCAGAGTATGCGGAGGTATGACCATCAAATATATGGAGCTTTGTTATGTTTTTACCTCGTTTTGTGATCTCCACATACTCCGACATATCTGTTCTGCCCCATCTTTGTAACTTGTTGAATTTGCTAGTCTGAAGTTTGCTCTCCCCAGACTATGGTCTGGTGGCCACAGATGGCCACCATGTTCACACACAACTATTATTTGCAGTACCGTGAGCCATGTCACCTTCGACTGGATGAATTTTCGCGAGAAAAATATCTGGCCCAATGTGTGTTCGAACTCAGGACTCCAGGGTAGATATTCGGACACTTGTCCGCTGCGTCAATTCACCATTAACAGGTTTTTTATTCTTTTTCTAGCTCATTAATACAGATAGCTCATTGTCGCGTCATCTTCTTTGAATAATCGGATCATTGATAGACTGTACTGATTCAGTGTGAAAATTTGTTTCAGCCTTACGAAGAATCTTACAGATTCTTACCAGTCAACGGAGAGCCAACATTAGTCGATATAAACCCACTGCCAACTAAACGAAAATCAATAATGGATTTTCTATACCCTAGCGAGGTTGAAGAAGATTACTATGAAGATGGCGTTGGCTTTTCTGACGAAAGATACCCCTCGGTATTTGCAAAATTCAAAATAGACAGTAGATTAGATAGATCGCTTAGTCCTAAAAGTAACTCCAGCAAGAGAGCTAAGAAGAAGAGAGAATCGTCGGATGACGAACTAGTATCCATCAATGATGAAGTTGAGGAAGAACTGAGGAATATTCTGGGAGATATAGGACTGGTGGACGATTATCCTAACCAGGATAACAAGCGTAAAGTGGAAGACGAGAATTTGGAGCTTGGAACCAACAAGATTGACATCGCAAAGGAAACTAGAGAAAAACGTAATGACCTCAATTCTGCTTTTCCAGTAGAGAGAGGAAGTACCAATGTTACCAAATCGAACGTGGGTGGGGTTGAACCTCTTCTATCGCTCAACGAAAAAGAAAACCAGGCAGACTCCGATGTAGAAGATCATCGCGATAAGAGATCTGAAGAAGCAACGGTTGATCATGTCAAAGATGATATGCCCGTGTTAGAATACAACACCGAAAAAATCGAGGAGAATACCAACATCGATGATTATGGAAAACGAGTAGAAAGAGAGATAAGGGATAAAATACATAAGTTGAAAGAAGAAGTTAAGAAAGAGATAGAGGAACTCAGAAAGGCGAATGCTATTGAAAAGGAAGATTCAGAAAAAAAGGAAAAGCAAACCCTGAATGATGATGAAAATAGCGATATCGATCCAATCGTCAGTGATAGTGGGAACGATGACATTCATATCCGCCGAAAAAGAAATATTCAATACCACCAATCCGAAGAAGATAACGAAGACATTACAGCTTTGGAATCCAACCAGATGCCACGAAATAATGAAAGAAATTATCAATCTAGGTACATTTTCCTGTGATAATCAATCGATTGAGTATATATTTCCCATTGTTGTAGGTCTTTGAAGGAAGCTAACATGGATTATGATACCAACGAAGAATATGAAGACAATAACGATATAATGAGACAACCTAGCATGAAAAACGAAAATGACTACTCAGCCAATGAATACGAGCCCAAGTTCATGGAAAAGAACCATATCATCGAGGACAGTGAAAACGAAGATAGTGGTAAGGAAGTATATACATTGTGGAAAATTTCCAATTTTCTATTCGACAAGTTTTTGTTATTTCAATACAGGATGTTTAGAAAGGCCCATCTAATGATTACAATGAATCGGCCCGAATTTTTTACAGAACTTCGAAATGCTTTTCGAAGTTACTAATACTGTCAACGTTAACTCTTGGTGTTTTTTGCAGGTGATATTGGTAACCACTTTACATCAAACGAGAAATCAGGTTGCAACTGCGATAAAAACTCTGGAGATTGCAAATGTGTCAATGGACATTCAAAGTCCCAAGATTTAACTTCAGATGAAGAACATCTCATGTCGTCCGCAAAACATCACTGCGATTGCAGCAAAACCGACAAAGACTGCAAATGTGGAAACAATTTTGCTGATTATAAGCGACTACCACCACAAGAGATCTCGGAATATGACGACGATGCTGAAATTCATCGGAAGTTCTCAACTGAGAAGAAAAATGTTTTGAAGCGACTTCACGAAATAATTAAGAATAGAGAAGATCCTGGGTACAAAAGCAGAGAAAATGGCCAATTTAGACGGGCAATTAAAGCAACGAAGAGAGAAATCAAGGAGCCCTTCGAAAATGGCGAATATTTCGTGGACTTGCAGCCAAGCATTTTCAAACTCTCGTCATCGGAAAACTTGCTCAACTCGATGACATCCCAACGCCGGCCTGTCAAACGTCACCTTGCTGCTGTTAGACAGCTGAAAATGTTACCCCACTCTCGCTTTAGAAGGCGCGTGCAGAAAGATGAAAGCAATAGAGAGCCCAGGCAGCTCATAGATATGTCTGAAGAGGATATTTTTGGTGCTCTACCTCAAAGTTACGAGGGAGAACTCGCTCGGTACAAAAGAGTAAAACGTGCTAAGAAAAAGTAAATTAAAGCGGTGGTGATCAAAAGAAAATGGATACTACATAAGAATAAATAATAAGGCTTAAAAATGACAGTATCTTAATGATAGGTGTCAGCCGAATGAGATATATCTTGTGAACATCCAGATTTATGAAATTCTACAAACTTCAACGAGAAATTGATGAGGTCTAATATTAACTCCAGTTTGAATAAATGTCATGTTGAATAAAATTTCCTCAACTCCTGTGGATAGTTTGCCTCGAAATAATGCATGGATTTTTATTTATTTATACCACTTTCAGGCATATGTGATGAAGTTGGCCGATTCTTGATGAAAGTCCGTAACTTATCACTTCATTGTGAGAATTTCACATGAAAGTTCACAAAACCGCAAACAACCACTATAGGTGTTTCGTTATTCAATAGCTTTCTCAAATGCAATACGTGTTGCGGTTGTTTGCAGTTTTGTAAACTATCCAGTGGAAATTGCGCAAAAGAGTATTACTTGAATACCACTTTCAGACGTTTTATAATCAAACTCATTCAGATTTACTCAATCCGATCTGTTGTTCAACGGTAATTCTATACCCTTCTTCCGTATTTTTTCTTTTATCATCTGTTATTCTGTTGATGTACTCGTTAACTCGTTTCGAAGCTTTTTACAATGAAATATAGATCATACAGTGAATTTGAAAAAGAAAAAAGTGAACAGTGAGAGCACCTACAATCATATATTATGCATTAATGACTTTGGCGACATTACCTTGAACTGAACCCAGCTGAGAGAAAGAAAATTAAGAAGATGCTAAAAGATAACCTCTTCATCAACAGTTAACCACACTTTTTAAAAACCCAAAGTTTACATTATATATCTTATTATTTATTGTTGTGATCGAATAATACAATTAGTTGAAAATGTTTTGCAAAGAAATGTTGGTTTCTAGTAGAAAAATATTCAGCCACAGAAATATAATCCATTCCGTGAGTAGTCTTTATCTAACATTGGTTCTTTTATTAAATTATCTTTTTTCTTTTCAGGTCAGGCTTTCATTCAGTAAAAATATTTCTTTGGCCTGCCAGAGAGAAATCCATTATTCTGCCACAAGAATCAATTCAACAACTAATCAAGAACAGACGTTTGTAAGATATAGACGTTTACTAAAAGTTATACAACGGTATGTAGCGACTTCTTCCATACAACGTACCACCGAAGTTGACAGAACCAGGCTAACCAGCCACTCTGATTTCACTATCGAAAAAGCACATTCTCAAGGTATACTTGCAACAAAAGATGATAATCGTTCTGACCCAGACATTCCAGAGGAAACTGTAAAACAGGTAGTGGATCTAGTACAAGAGTTTGAGGTACTGAGTGAAAGTTATTTTTTGTGAAGGAAATCGGTTGATATTTTTTGTGTATTTATACCTCCCACAATGTGTTAAAGTGAAATTATTGTAATTGAGAACTTTATGAGGGTGTAGAAAAGCAATGTTTGTAATTTAAACTGAAACGTTAGGTTTGCACCTTTGTTTTCATTAAAATTTGTTGCTTGTATTTTTACTTTAATTGCTTGCAAATACTGGTATTTATCCAAATTTTTGAAAGAAACTGTCCTCCTAAAATTTAATCTGGTTGCATGTATTGTAGCCTATTTATTTTGTTTTTGAAGTTTGAATCAGCTGAACATTTTTTTGTGTGTACAAGTATAAAAACACCAAGTTCTGAACAATTAAACATTGAACCTTATTTTTCCAACAGTCCACATATTAAGTGCAAGTAACTGATGTATTTGTGGAAGGTCAGAAAGAGTTTAAGCTAAAATTATATTATTTGTTTATATATAGGCAACTCCAAGTGAAAGCCCCCTACATGGAGACGCTGTGAAACTATTCAATAGTCCTAAGGGCACTTTGCACAACATTTTCCAACAGGTGACAAGTGAAACAAAAAATACCGCTTTCAAAGCTACTCCTTCCTATCGACTAGTCCTAGATCATAAAAAACAGATGTGGTTGTGCACCTATAATATTAGCTGGCCAACAGAAATGAAGTTCATGGCTAAAGACTCTAAAAAATCAGTCGCTTCGACCAAAGCAGCCCTGCAGGTGCTTTCTTGGCTTTTGAAGGAGAAAAAAATCACCAAAGAAGGAGTTCCCATATTGTACGATGAAAACGAAGTGAAAATATTGACGAAAAAATCCTGTCCTATTGTTAGTTTAGATCATAAGACTATTGACAAGATGCAACGGATAGTTGGGGTGTACGAAAAGCAAATATCTCCACGAATAAGCCGGAGTCAATCAACTGGAGATGAAAATGAAGATGATGCAGAGGATATATTTTATGAAGAGCTTGAAGGTGAGAGTTTCAAGCAACGAACAAAGTATCTAGGTTACGAGAAGTATATGGCCAAGGAGAAAGTGAAGCTGCCTATATCGGATTTCAAGTAAGGAATAGTAATAGTAATAAAATTAATTCGATCAACAATGTTCTTAGTAGTATACATTTGGAAAACTGGAGTAAATCTAAATCCTATCTAAACTAATTCCAATTTTTTTCAATGCCAATTTATTTAGTTGTTATCAAAGCTACATATTCCAGACATGTCACAAAATACAACTATAATAGGTATTATTGTAATGAAAATAGTGAGTTTATTTAACTGTATAAAACATACCCTTGTGGAACTTCATGTTTTGTTTAAATCTCACTTGAGATTTTATCATTAAATTTTGTGACTTGCAATCTATTCTTGATACAGGATTCAAACCAGCTCATCACTTCATCAGTAAATCCCCTTCTACACATTTTTTTTAGAAGAATTTCTACATTAACAGTTTCCAATGCTCTTCTGAAGAAAATGAAATAAATAAAAGTCCAAATTGTAGGTTCTAGCTGATAATTGATCAGTTTTAGGTAAATGTCAGTTTACATTAGCTCTACATATACTAGATGGGCTGATAACTTTGTAGGCTAATACACAGATGGCGGTACTAGTATTTAAACTATATGATTTTTAATTAACCCTAACCTTTGAAAGACATGTGTGCAAATTTCACAGCTGTCGTAATATTGGTTTCTTTTAGTATGTTTTCTCAACTTTGGCAGGGAGAAAATAATCGATCAAGTGAATTCCCACCAAGTGGTGATAATAAAGGGAGAACCAGGCTGCGGAAAAAGCACGAGGGTGCCCCAATACATCCTGGAAGCGTGGGCCAAAGATGCTTCGTTTGGAAAGCCGGGGAAAATTGCCGTTACCCAACCGAGACGTATAGCAGCCATATCTCTCTCTCAGAGAGTGGCAGCAGAACGAGAGGAATTGGTAAGTTAACAGAACTGAACTACGATATAAGGGTTCGCGCAAAATTTATGATTTCTTTTTATTTTCTCCCCGTGGTCACGAATCTAGAGTCGAAATCTCTTGCAAGCATTAACTATTCAAAAGTTGAATATGTTCAACAATAAAGTCTGCCACAATTTGAAGACCCTGCCACGTCAATATATTCCTCAATTGTAAAATCACAGTGTTTTTAATAGTAAAATTGAGCTTTGCAAGGCTTAGTGACTTCAGAGACAAGTGAAGACGATTATACAAATGTAAGTTTAGTGAATTTCTCTTTCTAATCGTTAATTTATGGCTGGACAGGTTCAATAAACTTGTGGGTCTCGTTCCATATACATAACTATCGTTTTCATGAAACTCTAGTAGATGAACAAGGCGGGTTCTGGCACACTTCAAGGTCGCGCGTAGTTGGTAAGTGTTTCAGAGCGAGATTTTAGTGAGTGGAAGAGAGAAACGTGTGACGTAATCGATGCAGAGAAGGATGAAATGAGTATAGGAGGGATTTAAAGAGCATGGTTGATTCACGTCTGCCAATATTATTCTTGAATATTACTGGAGTTTTTTCCCAACACCAAATCGTTATTTTTACACCTCGACACGTGTTTCGATCACCAAGTGATCATCTTCAAGAGGATATCTTGACGACACGTGTTTTGATCACTTGGTGATCGAAACACGTGTCGGTATAGAACTCCAGTGGTATTATTTGCTACACCGAAGGTTACAAACAGTGTATCACAAGTATATAAATGTTTGGTTGCTTTTGTGTAGTAATAAATATTACTGGAGTTTTATCCCAACACTAAATCTTTATTTTCAACGCCTCGACACGTGTTTTGATCACTTGGTGATCTAAACACGTGTCGGTATAGAACTCCAGTGGTATTATTTGCTACACCGAAGGTTACAAACAGTGTATCACAAGTATATAAATCCTTCCATAGATTGTGCAGAAGATAAGTTAAATTAATTCATAACATACGTCCGTCCCGGCTCCGCACGGATGCTGTGCTGATACTAAATATACATATAAACGCCTGAGATCGCTGCTAATCATATAAACGCGGCCTTCGACGCGCTATTTATAGGCGCGCGTCACCGGCCCCCTGGCCGGTACCGCCGCAACCGCTATGTTCCTGCATTTTAAATCTGTAATATCTTCGATAATATTTATTTAAATTACATGCTGTGCAGGGCCATATTCATCCATATTAAATGCACAATGTATTTAAGGTACTTAACTGTAAGAGGATTGATGCTGTATTGCTTAAAATCACTTCGTAAATAAGCCATTATTTCTCGAAGATGAAAAATTGTTATTGTGGGTTCTCCCTAAGACCTAAGAGATAGACATGTACCATCGCGGACTTTTTTGTAGACTTTTTTGAGGTTTACAATACTGTAGTATTTTTTTTATCTATCTCGTATGGTTCAGCCAACGTGTTTCGAACTTATATAGGTTCATCATCAGCTAATTATTTGAAAATTATGGAGAAGAAAATATTTTATAATGGAGAAAAGAAAATTGTCACATGTTACCAATGAATGAATGGTCACAATTATATGTTAATAGTAATGTTAATTAGTGGGTATAAAGACTCTAAGCCTCCCATACTTTTCAATAATTTATAGTTCGGATGTTATAAACTTCCGTCGTTTACTAAATATAAAAAAAATCTTCATTACTATTAACATGTCATTGTCACCATTTATTCATTGGTACATGTGACAATGTTCTTTTCTCCATTATAAAATATTTTCTTCCCCACAAGCGACGAAAAAGTTGTATTTTCAGTTGATTGATCTAAATAAATAAAAACTACGACAAAAAGTTAGTGACGTATTTTTTTTCCCAATATTGTTGGCTGTGGTGCCACCTGAGACTCCGCTGGACTCAACAATTTCAATCTAGTCAAGGCTAAATGAGCGCCTTATTACTCCAAAGAACTGTGTAGCAAATTTCAGCCAAGACGGTTTCTTAAAACGACTTAATGACGCCCCTTCTGAAGTTTCGTACCGTAATTAGGAAATATTCTGTATGAAATTTGTAATGTTCCAGCACTTTTTGGAATCTTTGGAAAACGTCGACGTCCAAAAAACATTGAAAATGTGCGATGGAGAAGTCGCCACGGTAGTACACGAAGACGTCGTCCAAGTCTTGCAGCACATCCACAAAAGCAAGCCGGAGGGCGCCATTCTCTGCTTTCTCCCGGGCTGGGAGGACATTTCGAAGATCCGTAAGTTGATTCCGGAAAGATCCGATCTCGTCGTGCACTGCTTACATTCGAGACTCCAGGACTCTGAACAATGGAAAATATTCTCACGGCCTCCGCCGGGAGTTAGGAAGATCATCCTGGCGACCAATATCGCAGAGACTTCCGTTACGGTCGATGATGTTGTCTACGTAGTGGATACTGGCGTACATAAGGAACAGAGATTTGACGTCGTGAAAGGTAAGTTGTTTCAATCAATCAAACGTTTATTGAATCAGTTTTCCTTCACAATCACATTAGCCAAAAAAATATAACAGTAATATAGCTGCAAGAGTTCTAAGCCAAAATCCCATGTATTTTCCTATGAAGCTAAATTCTGGCATTTTTTGGACCCTAGGCCCATTTCACACAGAAGGTGTAAAGGTCAGCGTCTCGTCTCTGCCAGACGTCCATTATGTGTAAACTGAGCCTTAGCCTTCAAAGCCCACTTCAGACCACTTCCACTTCTCCACTTTTACCGTCATTCAGTTAACCAATCAGCTATCGCGCATACAGCGGGAAATTCAAACCACCAGTAGATGAACAAGACGGGAACCAGCACAAAATCCCATGTATTTTCTTATGGAGCTAAACTTTTTGCAGGTCCAAAAAACGCCAGAATTTAGCTCTATAAGAAAATTCATGGGATTTTGGCTCAGAATTCCTATAGCTCTATTACTCATAACATCATCATAAAATACTGGCTGATTCAACCGGTCAAACAAACATAATAAAGTCAATATAAAACTTAAAACATACATAAAAAACCAATAAGCTACAATCAAATTAAGATTCAAGGAGAAACTCATCCACAGAGTAGTATGCTTTTTGCAATAGACATTGATATTTGAAGATTCAATGTCCTCACTAAGCTTATTATATAGTTTAACCCCACAGCACATGGGGCGATTCTTTGATACTCACAATCTACTATAAGGTTGATGAAGTTGAGAGTTATTTCTGGTGAAATGTTCATGGATTTGCTCATTTCTAGGAATAATTGAAATATTGTTTTTTATATATATCAGAGTTTGGTAGATATACAAACTAGGCATTGTTGATAAACCATAACGAATGAATAATGGCCTGCAGTGTTCACTTGAAGACACACCAGCCAGAATTCTGATTACCTCTTTCTCAATAACAAAAACTTCATTAGCTTTAGCTGATAAGCCCCACTGTTCAAGACCATAGGAAATCACCCACTGAATTAAACTGTGATATAAAAGCTTCAGAACATGAAAAGAGACTGTTTGTTTTAACTGACGAACTAAATATATATGTTTAATGAGCTTCAGTTTGACACTATCAACATGGAACTTCCAGGTAAGTTTATCATCAATATCAGCACCTAAAAATTCAGTACAATTAACTTGATGTGGAGTTTCATTATTTAATCTAACCAAATGGTTTTTATCAATTTTTTATTTTTAGTAACTTTAATAACAAAGTTGAGCATTTGAAATTTAGCAGAATTTAGCAGCAGGCCATTTATTTGGCCACTCATAAATTTGATCAGTTACTTCATTAGCTTTACCAATTACTTCAGACATAGTTCCCGCAGATACCAAGATGTTAGTATCGTCCGTAAAAATAACAGTAATGGAAGCTTTTGAACAATATTTTGGAAGATCATTTAAAAAACAAAAAATTAAAGTGTTCATAATTCCAAACAAGTTGGACTTTGTGCGTCCATTGTGTCTAAGGGGGCCTAACAGACTGAATTTAGCATTCAGATACCTCAAGAAAACAGTTCCCTTCAAGTGTTCTTCAATTAGGTTTAATTCATTCGTCAATAATCATCGTATCACATATCGTGTAGAATCCTGTACAATGCATCACAAAATCAGATTTGTAAGAAGTTGCATGAAATAAAAATCATCAATAAAGAAATAATTACGTCTCCTTTCATATAATGCTTGAGTGCGCTGTGAAAAATCCAATGAAAATCTTTTTATATTACACATATTATCTGCATATTTCTCGTTAAACTGCAAAACTTGTGCATTTCACTGCTTATTATAAAAAAGTTTTCCTAAGTATGATATAGCATTTGCAATCAACAAGATGTTGATTCTGAATACGACCCTGGCCAATTTTTGGGATTTTCAATATCACGTGCGTAGGGCATGTCAATGTTTACATCCGCTCTATCTTGGATTTGAATTTGCTTTACTAATACAAATAGCTATTGACGATCGCACAACTTCATTGTCCTCCTATTATTCCAGGTATCAAGTGCATCGACAACCATTGGATTTCGAAAGCCAGCGCGACCCAGAGGAAGGGCAGAGCGGGTAGGTGCTGCCCTGGAGAAAGCTTCCATCTGTACACGCGCGCCAAGTACGACGCCTTCGCCGAATACTCGCTGCCGGAGATCTTGCGCACCTCGCTGTCTAAGATCGTCCTCGACTGCAAGGTCGTCAGCAGCGACGCGAACGCGTTGGAGTTCATGGGGCAGCTGCCCACGCCCCCCGCGGAGGCAGCAGTCGCGGGGGCGGTTCGACATCTGAAGGACCTCGAGCTGCTCGACGGTAACTACTTTTGTAACTCAAAATCATCAGGAAAGATATATACAATATATGTTCAGACCCCTTTACACTTTGAAATAAATTAAAGCAATATTATTGGTTAGTTCTATAAGAAAATGGTTCATTCATCAGGAAGTAACACTCGAACTTTCAAAGTTTCAAAAATGATAGTGACGTCATTGAGACCTAACCTAACCTTCAAATCTATCTCAAGAACAAGTTGGCAATGTCGCATGTACAGTCAAAACAACAAATATACAAGAAGAAGAAAATTTAATTATGTGAAATGGTCACAGCATACTTATATACAGTAGTCTTACTTAGGGTGATTTTTTGTTTGAATTTACCATAAGTAGACCCAGGAGTTGCAGTCTCACGTCCGCGCAAACGACGAGTTTAAGACAGGCACGCAACCTTCCATAGTTGTTGAATTTCATGGGTTTCACCCAACTTACTGTGGTATATTATTTTACAACTCGTGAAAAAATGTTAAAGGTGCTCTCTTATTCCATCAAATTCTGATTGCAGAAATATTACTGGATGAGGCGTCGGTACTTAGAAATATTCCACGTATTTTATTCGAAAGTGATCATTTTGTCAAATCTACAATAAATATTACTGGAGTTTTTTCCCAACACCAAATCTTTTTTTTTTATACATCTCGACACGTGTTTCGATCACTAAGTGATCATCTTCAAGAGAAAGATGAAAACTGAACTGAACTGGAAAAAAAAAACCAGTAATTATTATTACTACACCAAAAGTTCCAAACTGTACATCATAAGTAAATTTACAATAGCATGTCGGATTACGATAATTGTCACATTGGCACCAGTGCACAAAGGCTTGTCAGTGATTTTATTGTCAATTTTTACTTGGGTAAAAGCTAAAAACAGCAAAACAATCTATTAATTATCATATGGTGTAAATAATTCATAACTTCCGAATCCGAAAACTCTCACATACATTTATAGTTAGTACATAGATACAAAAAAATATTAGGTTCCTCCAAACTAATACATGGGCTGAAAAGTCCCGGGTCTAGGAAAAAAAATGCGTTTTTTTTTGTTCAAAATTGGCTCTTGTAGAACGATTTATCTTTTGCCTCAAAATAGGCCTCTATTTTAGCAATAACCTCTTCATTTGAACGGAATTTCTTGCCGGTCAACACTTTTTTGAGGTCTGCAAACAGCCATTAGTCTCTGGGAGCCAAATCTGGCGAATACGGTGGGTGTAGGAGCAATTTAAATTTCAATTCATGTAGTTTTGCCATTCTTTGCACTTCCAACCTCAAATAACGCTATATAATATTCACTGTTGATGGTATTTACCTTCTCAAGATAGTTGATGAATATTACACCACGCACATCCCAAAATACTGCGGCCATAACTTTTCCAGCGGATTGTTGAGCTTTCAGGCGTTTTGGACGAGGTTCAACAGTTGCTCTCCACTCAGATGACGATCGTTTTGATTCCGGTGTGAAGAGTTGGATCCATGTCACATCCCTTGTCACATATCGATGCAAAAATTCCGGTTTGTTATGTGCAAACATGGCCAAACACTGCTCAGAATCATTAAGATGTTCTTGTTTTGGCAACACCCACTTTGAACAGAGCTTTCTCATTGTCAAATTCTCAAGCAATATAAATCCAACACGTTCTTTTGATATCTTTACAATGTCAGCTAACTCACGCAACTTCACTTTTCGATCATTCAAAACGATTTTGTGGATTTTTTTAGCTTTCCTGGTGTTACTGCCTCATTTGGACGTCCACTGCGTTCTGCATCATCAGTCTCTCTAAGACCACATTTGAAGTCAGCAAACCAACGTTTAATTGTTGTTTTTAATAGTAAATTTGAATTTTGCAAGTAGTGACTTCAGAGACAACTGAAGATAATTATTTTATGGCTGGCCAGGTTCAATAAACTTGTGGGTCTCGTTACATATACATGACTATCGTTTTCATGAACTTCTAGTAGATGCACAAGGCGGGTTCTGGTACACTTCAAGGTCGCGCGTCGTTGGTAAGTGTTTCAGAGCGAGACTTTAGTGAGTGGAAGAGAGAAACGTGTGACACAATTGATGCAGAGAAGGATGGATGGATATAGGAGGGATTTAAAGAGCATGGTTGATTTATAAAAGTAAAAAATGTAGATGAAAATATTGGAAGCGCGAAAGTGATATATTAATAATGATGAATGAATAAACATATTAAAGAAAAAAAACATGGCGGCAATGTAACGGACATTCAGAGGAGTATACAGGGTGTCTCAAAATACAGCATTTAGGAAAAAAAAAACATGACAGTTCAACGTTGAAACGTGCATGTCCTTATAACAATTTTCAGGCCATTGCTCAGCTTGAACGGTATTTTCCCATCAAAAAGCAGTGTAAAATTAAAACACGAAATTGTCTTTGATCCATTGTTTACAAAACAAGTAAAGTAGTGTCATAAAATTTCAACAGCTTTCTTTTGAAGGTTAGTATCAACTGAAAAAGTTGTGAATGTGTTAGACCCGTGTTATATACGTCTCTAAATACTCTGTATAAAGGATTCCTAAGAAAAAAACGTTATCTTTTTTATATTCGACTACTTATCTGGGCTATGTTAAATTGTGTGATTGGAAGTCAGTAATGAATAAATCTCCAGTCAAATTACTTGGTAGTTTTCATTGTTGAGTTTACTAATTCACTTTGATTATTAAACAGAGCAACCCGAGACTTTTCAGTCCATATAAATCTACAATTCATGATGCATTATAAGAAAAGTCCCCAAGCATTTGCTGATTTTTATCTACAAAATCAAAATAAAACATGACAGTTCAACGTTTCAACGTGCGGAGTCCTTATAACACGTTTCAGGCCATTGCTTTGCTTGAACGTTATTTTTTCCCATCAAAAAGCAGTGTAAAATCAAAACACGAAATTGTTTTTGATCCATTGTTTAGAAAACAACAAAAGTAGTGTCACTCTTAGCATAATAACTCACAAACTCATGGGTAAAATATCATAAAATTTCAACACCTTTCTTTTGAAGGTTAGTAACAACTGAAAAAGAGGTGAATGCAATAAGATTACCGCCATCTATGTGTTAGACCCGAGACTTTTCAGTCCATATAAATCTACAATTCATGATGCATTATGAGAAAAGTCCCCAATCATTTGTTGATTTTTATTTACAAAATCAAAAACAACGTGTTGAACTATCGCACCATATCACTCCAGAAAAAATAATGATTTATGGAGTTCCCCAAAGAACAATTTTAGGTCCCAAATTTTTCAACTATCTCAAACTATCAAGCCGTTAGTTTTTGAGTTATTCACCATTGTACATTAGGTTTGCGCCTATTAAAATTACAAACTTACTTATGCATATACAAAGGTTCGGAGAAACTGACGCCGCTCGGGAGGACCCTGTCCGACTTCCAGCTGGAGCCAGAACTAGCCAAGGCGATGGTGGACGCGGTCGTCTTCAAGTGCGTCTCGCCCGTCGTCGACGTCGTGACGCTCTTCTCCGCCGAGACGGAGCTCTTCGTCTCAGGCCTGCTCAACAAGGAGGCAGCTCGGGCCATCAAGAGGCAGTTCTGCAGAAGCAGCGACCACCTGGCGATGATGAGGCTGTTCGAGAAGTTCCTGGAGATCGCCGACGAAGACAACAGCAGGGAGGTGGAGCGGTTCTGCCAAGATGCCTGCTTGGTGCCGCACAAGATGAGGACGCTCGAGAGTAAGATTTTTATTTATATTCTTTAAAATATTTATCTGTGGTGGAGTCGGTGGTCGGTATTAAACAATACAAAGTACGATAAACTGTTTAGCGATACTAACAGCGGTAAAATAAAAATGAAGCAAGGCAAGTTTGGAAGAGTTAATAAAGAAGTTTCAGAAAAATAAAGAAAAAGAATGTATTCCTTAGATCAGCGTTTCTCAAACTTTTTTGCCTGGGGAACCCACCTTCATCGTGGATTTTTTTTGCGACCCGCATATTAAATAATATAAAGTATAATGGGGAATGTTCCTCCTGACGAAAATGAAGTAGTTTTCTTAAAAGAGCTCTAAAACAACGCATTTTAAACTTATCATTTCAACCTTTTTCTTTAAAAAATCATTTAAATACTTAAAAAAGAGGATGTCTGCCACAATTTGAAGACCCTGCCACGTCAATATATTCCTCAATTGTAAAAACACAGTGTTTTTAATAGTAAATTTGAGCTTTGCAAGGCTTAGTGACTTCAGAGACAAATGAAGACGATTATACAAATGTAAGTTTAGTGAATTTCTCTTTCATGGCTGGACATGTTCAATAAACTTGTGGGTCTCGTTTCATATACATGACTAGCGTTTTCATGAAACTCTAGTAGATGAACAAGGCGGATTCTGGCACACTTCAAGGTCGCGCATAGTTGGTAAGTGTTTCAGCGCGAGATTTCAGTGAGTGGAAGAGAGAAACGTGTGACGTAATCGATGCAGAGAAGGATGGAATGAGTATAGGAGGGATTTAAAGAGCATGGTTGATTTATAAAACTAAAAAATGTAGATGAAAATATTGGAAGCGCGAAAGTGATATATTAATAATGATGAATGAAGAATCAGATTAAAGAAAAAAATATGGCGACAATGTAACGGACATTCAGAGGAGTATACAGGGTGTCTCAAAATACAGAATTTAAGAAAAAAACATGACAAGTAGAATATCATGAAATGTCAACAGCTTCCTTTTGAAGGTTAGTACTAACTGAAAAAGCGGTGATTGCAATAAGACTAGCGCCATCTATTTGTTAGGCCCGACACTCTTCAGCCCATGGAGTATGAAATGACGTTTTTAACATTATCGACTTTCGAAGGGCCTTACCTACAAAATTTGATGCTCTCGACAAATTTCGTCTTCAGATTCGTAACAATGACAGATAAACAAATTTTGCATAAGTCTGGCTACCAAACTTTCACTTTCGTTGTTTTCCAATCATTCCATTTCAGCAAAAAAAAACTTTCCAGGTAGGCCATATCGTCGGATACCAAGTCAGACTGAACTCCAACTTCCGACAGTCAACCGGCAGGATCCTCTACTGCACGACGGGTATTTTACTGAGGCACTTGCAAACTAATTCGAATCTGTCGGACTTCACGCATGTCATCCTAGACGAGGCGCACGAGCGAGACGTCAACACCGATCTGCTGATGAATCTGCTGAGGAGCGCCATCAAGAAAAACCCGAATCTGAAGCTGATCGTCATGAGCGCCACCATCGACACGGACGTCTTCAGCGAGTATTTCGGCGGAGCCCCCGTGCTCGATATCCCGGGATTCACTTATCCAGTAGAGCAGGTGAGAGATTACTCGAGTTTTATCCCAACATTAAACCTTTATTTTCAACGCCTCGACACGTGTTTTGTTTACTTGGTGATCGAAACACGTGTCGGTATAAAACTCCAGTGGTATTCATTACTACACCAAAGGTTACAAACAGTGTATCACAAGTACATAAATCCTTCCATGCCGTCCGTCCCTGCTCCGCACGGATGCTGTGCTGATACTAAATATACATATAAACGCCTGCGATCGCTGCGAATCATATAAACGCGGTCTTCAACGCGCTATTTAAAGGCGCGCGTCACCGGCCCCCCGGCCGGTACCGCCGCAACCGCTATGTTCCCGCATTTCAAATCTGTGATATCTTCGATAATATTTATTTAAATTACATGCTGTGCAGGGCCATATTGATCCATATAAATGTATTTAAGGTTCTTAACTGGAAGAGGATTGATGCTGTATTGCTTAAAATCACTTCGTAAATAAGCCATTATTTCTCGAAGATGAAAAATTGTTATTGTGGGTTCTCCCTAAGACCTAAGAGATAGACATGTACCATCGCGGACTTTTTTGTAGACTTTTTTGAGGTGTACAATACTGTAGTATTTTTTTTATCTATCTCGTATGGTTCAGCCAACGTGTTTCGAACTTATATAGGTTCATCATCAGCTAATTATTTGAAAATTATGGAGAAGAAAATATTTTATAATGGAGAAAAGAAAATTGTCACATGTTACCAATGAATGAATGGTTTATAACAGTCGTTTAAGTGAGTTGATGTGAGTGTTTTTATGAAAATGGACAAAATCGAGTATCGAGCTGTCATTAAATATTTGTTTTTGAAAGGCAATACGCCTAAGCAAATCAAAGATGAGTTGGATTCTACGTATGGCGACTCTGCACCATCATTTACCGCAGTGAAATTGTGGGCAGCTAAATTAAACGTGACCGTAAGAGCTCGGAAGACGATAAACGTTCGGGACGTTCAAAAACTGCAACTATCGACGAAAATATCGCCCAAGTTCGTCAAATGTTGCTAGACGACCGGCGAATTCAATTGAGAGAGATAGCAGAGGTTATGAACATGTCAAAAGAACGTTTTTGTCGTATATTAAATCAACATTCAGACATGAGAAACCTCTTCGCGCGTTGGGTGCCGCGGTTGCTCACGTTAGTCTAAAAACGTGTTTGAATGAACATTTCCAACGCTCCGCTGGCGCAGTTCAGACGCAATAAATCCGAGTTTTGGCGCCGATTTATTACCGTAGATGAAACTTGGATACGCCATTATACGCCCGAAACAAAAATACAGTCTAAACAGTGGACTGCAAAGGGGGCACTGGCTCCAAAAAAAACAAAAAGTGTTTTTCTGCTGGGAAAGTGATGGCAACTGTTTTTTGGGATAGTATTTCATTCGATTGTCTTAAAAAAGAGAAACCATAACAGGAGCATACAGCGCATCATTACTTGACAAACTAAAGGCAGAACTTGCGAAAATACGCCACATTTGCAGAAAAAGAAAATCCTTTTTGGGAAAGAAAGTTTTTGGCTTTCTACTACTCCATCTTGATACAAAAAAAGGGGGGCGAGGGAATCTTCCAAAGAAAGGAAGAAAGTAATCAATTTGAAAATAAGTAACTCTATACATGGATGTGTAAATCATGCAAAGAAGTAACTTTCAGACACAAACTGAAAGAAACTCATCCTGAAACAGCTACTTTCATATAAACATTGAATTACACGAAAGACACCCACAGTTTGTGTCTGAAAGTTACTTCTTTGCATGATCTACACACCCATGTATAGAGTTACTTTTTTCAAATTGATAACTTTCTTCCTTTCTTTGGAAGATTCCCTCATCCCTTTTTTTGTATCAAGATGGAGTAGTAGAAAGCCAAAAACTTTCTTTCCTAAAAATTAATCACTCCTAAAAATATAACCCCCTCAATTCAAAGAAAATCCTGTTTCACCAAAACAACGCACCGTCTCACACCTCAACGGTGTGGCAAAAATCCACGAATTACGGTTTGAACTGCTTGACAATTCGCCTTAATCACCAGATCTAGCCCCAAGCGACTTCATTTTCGAAATCAAAATATACTTTATTGTCAAAAGATTTTGTATCCCATCGACAAAGCTTTGTAGGTATAAATATAAGTATAACTAATGGTGTATAGATAAAAACTGGCAATTAATAAAGTTTTGAATAAAGAAATTCTGTGTTAAATTTGTTTTTCGAGATAGGCTTTTTATGATATATAAAGCCAGTAAGGCTTTTTATAATTTTGACGAGTATCTCAACAGTACCATCATTATTGATATGGACTGACACTTGTACTTGTATTTTAGATAACAAAAGATTTTTAACGTGTAAATTATATAAGTGTGTTTTATACATTGTAATTTTAGTTTATTTTATTTATATTCATTTTGACTTGTGTAAAACTTTTGTTAAACAGCACCAATAAACTATTCTATTCTATATCATTGTCTATCGACAGTTCATTTAGCAGACATTATATTTGTTTTGGAGATATTAAATGTTAATAAATTAGCGTCATACCAGTTTTTCACCTTTTCTAAATCATATGATATCTTTTTATGTAGCTCTGCTGGGTTTTTTTCCTTCCATAATATTGTTGTATCATCCGCGAATAGAGTAAAGCTGCCAGATATATCTATCATTGTCAAATCATTAATATACAACAAAAACAGAACTGGACCCAACACAGAACCCTGTGGCACACCAGATGTGTTACCATTTGACTTCGGCCTGAGAGGTACGATTCAAAGCAATTGTACGTCACCCCTCTGCAGGCATACCAGTGAAGTTTTTTGAGTAATAATTCATGATTAACACAATCATCTCGGAGAACAGAGATTTTCATCAAATGAAGAGACAATCACCTTCGTAAACAATTCTTTTGCAGAGAAAAACGCCGAGTACTATTTGGACGGGTTACAGAGATGGGAACATCGCTGGGAGAAGTTTGTATAGTGATGTTGAAA